TGATATTTACAAGAAAGCAAATGAACCAAGGGTTCTTAAATATTAAGTGGTATTTATTTCTTCAAAATTTTACGGACATCTTTCCGTTATCATTAATCGCTATTGAATATATATGTCACAGTTGAAACACTTAAAACGCCGAAATTACCAAGGGGTGATTCAAAACTCATAAGTCGAACAAAAATTGACAACGCCATGAAAAAAAAACGATAAATGAAAAAGTCCCCAACACACTTCATACAAAACTTACGACTGAGCAACACGAACCCCATGTGATGCAACGTGGCATTTTTGAACACATACTTGAGACCTAATATCACCAAAGTCGTAAAGTTTTCTTCTCAACCAACCTTTATTGTCAATTTTTAGATGTATGTTAAGATATGAGGCAGACTTAAATTATTTTTCCCTTTATTTCAATCAGTGAAATGACATCATCTTTATAGTGGAATGTAAAGCTAAGTGATAATTAATGCTAGCTTTTCATTCTTTCTGAGACGTTACCAAATGCGAACAATCCAGTGGCGGATCTAGAAATTTTCATAAGAGGGGTCCCACTGACTGCCTAAGAGGGGGACTGCTCCAGTCATGCTTCAGTGATTCCCTATATAATCAACCAAATTTTTCCAAAAAAAGGGGGGCCTGGGTCCCCCCCCCCCCCCTAAATTCGCCTCTGCAATCAGGTGATTTCTTCTTACTGCGAACAACACGACGAGTGTAACAATTGGAGCAAAAACTGCCGAGCCTTCCTGAACACCTGTGTTAATCTCAATTTATGACAATTTTTTTATTTCAAAAAAGTTTTTAGTAAATTGTTGTCTTTATGTTCCCATTATTTTTTTTCCCAATGTGATACCTATTTGCAGGGCTTCTCGTCTATGATTGTATTTTGTTACTTTCGTTGCTTTTATGTCATATGTAAATGTTTTTGATTGCAGTCTTGTCATTTGTTCTGCTTTCCTGACATTTAACGATTTTTTTGTTGTCATTTAATCTTTAATGAAAAAATAACGTCACCAAAGATACCGGACTCTTTGGAGGATTCTGAGGAAGTATTTGATGTAACGATTTTGTATTTATTCATATCCTGCTTGTTGATATATTTTAGATGTGTTTTCGTCTCGATTTGGAATGAAATGTTTTTTAAACTGGACGTGTCGCTTCCATATAACAAAAAATATTGAAAATTTTGCAATAAATGGCATAAAAGTGAGTCTGTCAACCCATTACTTTTTAAGCATAATTACATAGTATCCTGTATTTTCAATATTGATAAATGTAAATATATCTCAACTGTCGATATGAAGAAACCTAAACGGCAGAAAAACAAACAAAACATCTACAAGTTAGAATACGGCCTTCAACAAAAGACAATTGTCTGAGCAATATGTCAAGCTCTAAATAATTCTCGTTGACAAGATAAAATCAATTTAACAGAGACTATCAAACTTAATTTTAAATGTATCAAATGGTGTAGATTAGTCTAGAGAATACAGTCTCCTCATTGGTAAGACAGTCAGCGATGGCCATGCATTGACTTTGTTATACAATGAAATACATTTTGAAATAAAATCCCACTTGATAAACTTTGTTATTTTGCATAAACAAAACTCACATTATAACAGTTTTTAATACTTTGGCCAATTTTAAGGCGGAGTTGATAATATTTCTAAATGCACCATCTTTATTATATTCTACTTTTATTATTAATGCCAAAATCATGTTTTCATTGTACAGGAGTTGGCTAAATTATACGTTCATACCTTCTCCATCGAAAGCTCTTCACTGTTAGTCCGATTACTCAAGTTTAATGTCAGAAAATCGATTCGAACAAAACTTTCCAAAAAATAAAGTTGAAATGTTTTAACTCAATTTTAATACAGTTTCCTTTGATTTTTTTTTTAATACTCAAATCCAAAATAAATATTTTAAAAGACACTTTGTTCTTGACAGTGTATGTTGCAATCAATATTGAAGTCATGCTTGATCCATCGAGATTAAGAACAACAGGTTCACAAAATGACGTGAAATTGATATCAAAAACTCGCAGGAGGGACATAATTGCGAAACAAATGTGTTCAACTTTTAACAATATATCCTATCATTTCAGACTATTCAAAATTTCTCATCTTTATTCCAAACGAACTTCCAACATAAAGGATATATTGTTAAATTTATTTCCGTCTTAAATATTCATAAAGTGGTAAAACAAAACAAAAAATCTATTTTTTGTTTTAAGGTAAGGTTTGCATGATACCTGGATTTTTTTCTTAGTGATATTATACCAATATGATACATCATTTTGTTCAGGGAGGAGTGCCCAATCATTTAATGAAAAAAAATCGAAAATCGCCCGTCCCGTTTTTTCAAGTGAAAAGCTCAAAATTGCAATTTTTGACGTTTTTTAGGGAAAATTGTATTTAAATTCTTCTGAAATAATAATATATGCAAGTGACTATAAAAAAATAAAACTGAATAAAACATGTATAAATAATTGTGGTCCATTCATTAGTGATAAATTTTAATTCAAAAGTTCTTAAAAAAATTCCAAAAAACAAGATTTTTTAATTTTTGGGTTAAAAAAATTCCGTTGCCATGACAACAAAAAGCCAAAAATATCCCCTTTCCCCCACCGTTTTTGTAAAAAACTGTGAACTTAAGGATTTAACTATTTGCATTATAATGAGCTAATAAAATTGGTATGTCCCCGAATTTGTTTTTACGGAAATGGGCGTGATGTGTTCATCTTGTCATTTCTAAAAACACAAAAATATTTTTTTTGTTGATCTGCAAAGAAGAATGTCATCTTTAATAGCATCTTTTTACAAAGAATCATTTTGTCTTGTAACAAATAGTTTGGGGCTTGGGGGGGGGGGGGGGGGGGATTAAAAAACTATGTGAATTAAGTTTTTTTATCCTACATTGAACTTTTGATGTCTACCATTGACTTTTATGCCCATAACTATCAGTCGAAGGGGAGGTGTTAAACTTTGGTCATATTTGTATACATGTACAAGACTCTGATTTTGAAGGAAACACTTATTTTCTTTCAGTGCTTCAAACTGTAATATTTTGAATATTAGGATAGCACTCTAATTGCCATTAAAAGTAATGAAAATTGCTTTATTGCCCCATGTTTTGTTAATTGTTTGTATGCAGAAATTGGATGAAAAAAACATTAGTTTTGACTAGTAAAGTCATTTACAGCAGCCGTGTTTATTCCATTCATTTAAATCTGATTTGTCCAATTGTTACACATGATGTTCAGATTTGGAGTCTTTGACCAAACAAACAAACTACATGCTCCTACACATGATGAGGGGCCTGGTGGGTTATTTTCGTTTTCATGATCGGCGCATTTTGCTATCGTGATCCGTTTTTCTACAGATTTTTTTTTTTTTATATTTTCGTGATCCGTGATCATGGAAATTTATTTTCTGTGAATCGTGATTGACAAAAAAATCATCTCGTGAATCGTGATGAGACCCCCCCCCCCTCATCAGGCCCCTCCATGATGATAGACGAAACAGAATATGGCCCAGGAATACAAATGATCAGCCGTATATGTTTTGTTCATATATAAAATAAGAAATGAAGTTATGTAGACCTGTAATTTGAAAATCTTCCACATACTTTCATTAAATTAAAATCAATTCAATGAAGTTCACAGGAGTAACGGTACTGTAGTTGAGGAGTCCCCACCGTCAATTTGCGATTTGATGTTCGCAAATGCAGTTTTACTGTCGATGCGTAGCGGAGACAGTAAAACGGAAATTTGCGACCGTCAAATCAAAATTGATTGTAGCTACTCTTCAACCACAGTAATGTTATTCCGATTCTAATGCGTTACAAAAAGAAATAATACGTTAGAGCTTGAAATAAATGGGGAATGTGTCCATGGGACACTGATGATGCCCCCTCTTGCATAAACATAAAACATTATAAAGCATTACGTATAAATTTTATAACATTTGGTTGAAGCAAACTAGAGGTTTAGAACAGAGACGAAAAATTCAGAAATCGACCTCATAAAAATACTCCGAGCTTCATTTTGAGTTCTTATATACGGAGAAAGACTAAAAACTAACAATTTCCCGGATTTTATAGTGAGTCCGTGCATGTGTAGAGACACATGTTACCATCCTTGCTTTTAGATAAATTGCTTCAAAGTTGACTGATATGCATAGAAGTTTGTTTGATAAGAGGTTGTAAAATGTCCGGTGGCAAATAGTTCAGGCATGTTAAGGACGACACAATACTATAGTTGTGTCTGAAAGACACATTTTTAATGCATCCATAAAAAAAAAGAATAAACCACACTTCTAAATTGTGAAAGGAGCTTCCCATACATTAGTTTTTAAGGTTTTACGGCGGGAGACAAGAGAAGGGACATGGGAGAAAGGAAAAAGGTACCCCCTGTCCGACCTGACGACATCAAAATTCAAACTTGTTCTGTGTGTTTGTGGTAATAAGCATTGTGCATAAGTTTCATATCAGTTGGTTGAGGCAAACAAAATTTAGAGAACGGAAACCAATTTTGTAAAAACGGACGTACACTATGATACGTACATTCGGATGGACGTACAAACAGACAAGAATAAAACTCAATGCCCGCTTTGCTATGGCGGGGGCATAAAATGTACATTTATGAATAAAATTAAATTCCGCGAAACTTCATGAATGGTTTTTGCACAAAGATGTTATGGCTAAACGTGACGTCATATAAATGAAAACTAACAAACTGAAGGTCATAACGTTACTTCTACGATTCAAATTTTGATCAAATCACATCAAAACGCCAATTTTGAGGTAGATGTTGTTTTATTTTCGGAAAGATTGTAGTAATCGAACATTGGTTGATCAAAGCAATTTAAAATGGCGGGTCCCTCCATTTTTTAATTATTTGAATTTGAGTTATCTCCCTGTGTTTGAATTTGAGTTATCTCCCTGTGTACGCAAACCTTACCTTAATAAACATAATTATAATAAATACATTTCAGTAATGGCACAATCACCCATAAATAGTAGAAAGGTCATCACGTGTCCAGAACATCCATCGGAGATAGCAAGGTTCTTCTGTGAAGATGATAATAAAATGATTTGCGATGACTGTATCATAGGAGGTCACTGTGGTCATAAAAAAATCAAACTTAAAGATTATCTCAGCAAAAAAAGGCAACATCTTCTGCAGAATGAAAAAGAAATTAGAGATCACAACCTTCCTAACATAAAGAATGCATTGGAGAAGGCACTGAGGAGCAAAACAGATTTTAATAATTCTGTCAATAAACAACTTGAGAGGGTAAAACTTAGAGGAGAAATGGTAAAGAAAGTATTTGACGAATTACAAGATGAATTGATCCAAAATTTTGAATCTGCTAGAAATGCGGCGAACGAGGAGTTTGACAAATTTTCATCTAGGCAGCAATTAAGAATAAACTTAATCGAAGAAACTATGCGTATTGTGGATTCTAGAAGTGCGGACATGTTGGATGCAGAGGTAGTGTCCTACCATGAAAAACTATCATCAAGTCTGACGGATGATCCGTACTATGACGTAGCACCGAGTATTCAACCACCCATATATCAATGCCAGGATGATTCAGTGCAAAAAGGTAAATTGCAGACTATTCTAGGCCACATGGAATCAGGGACTTATGCTGAAGTTGCTGAAGTTGATATTCTTCGTATGCCAAATGCGAATCAAGAAAGAAACGCAGAAACACAAAAAGAAACCGGAAGATATTCTTGCCCAATATCAATAATAGTTGAAGACAAGAGAGATTTCTTGGCTGTTAAAACGTTTAAAAGTACTTCCAAAGTTACCCATATTGTACCAAAGCAGAGTCTACAAGCATGGCTAATTCACAGCAATATCGAAGAAGTAGACTGTACCACGGGAATGGTAAAAACAAAAATAATAAAGACTATAGAAGAGCAAACACAGTGTGCCGCCCGTAATAATGCAAACGAGCTTATCATTGGGATGTGGAACAAGAAGTCACTCAAGCAGCTGAAATATGGTGGATCATTTGGATTCAATTTCTTCTCCAGAAATAAGAGTTATACCCTTGGAAATTATGTTAACACCGCACCTCTTCTAGCTGTGTGCTTATGTACCTGTAGATCAACATCCGTAAATGGTGACATTACAGTATGCCTTGTCGAAAAACCAGCCTCAGACGAATATCCAGTAAAGAATCTGATTATTCGACGATATGCAAATGACAAAACTCAGCCTGTGAGTGATCTTGTTTTGTCGGAAGATAGAATTGATATTGAAGCACCAGTTTATATTTCCGAAAACACGAAAGGAGATTTATGTATAGTAAGTTGTCCGGAAGGAAAGGCTTCATGGATTACCATTACGGATGAAACTGGAATCATGAAATTTAGATATCCAGAGGCCGATCTAAAGGTTGCAAACCGAATTGATTATGATTTTATAGGTGCAGGATTTTTATCTGACGGAACAGTTACCGTATTAGACAAAGTAGGTTTTAGACAGCATCTAGTCGACAAAGAAGGCGTGTTACGGCAAATAGACACGCATGAGAGTCAGCCTGCATGCCTGGCTATTGCTCCTAACGATCATGTCTGGATTGGTTTTGATGATGGACATGTTAAAATATTCACATATAGAAATGAATATTCTGAGATTTTATTAAGATCTTAAAGCATGAGGAAAACAATTTAGAATCAAACAAAGGAGGAAAACTGTGCATGGTAACAGTGTTTTCATGATAACTGCAATTTAAAATTCTGGCTGATAGTTAACATAATTATGTTTACCTTGTCGCATTAAATGCACACAAATGTGATTTGACCTATAATTTTTAACCTTTTATACATTGAGACTTGGATGGAGAGTTGTCTCATTGGCACTCAAACCACATCTTATTTATATTATAAATTTTGTTTTATATAGATCAGACTTCCAAGGGCTGCCATTCGGTATATTAAAACAAATAAAAGTAAAATAATAAGTCACGGCTGTCAAATATTTCTATCAGATCTTGGACTATAGGATTGTGAATGCAATAGAAATTTCAACTTCAAAATTTGTGCATAATATTATCAAACAGCGGATCAAATCATAAATAACAAATGTGTCAAAATTATCATTACTCCTCAACAGTACTGCGCATTAAGGAAACGCATACTATACTTTTTTTAAGAAAAAACGGAAGGCGACACATAATCCTATGCAAATTATCAGGCCCATTAGCTGGCAAAATCATGTTCACCGATTTGACTCAAATTCTCATATTTGATTTATACCATACTAAAACGTATATCCAAATTACAAAAAGTCTTAAATAAACAATTAACAATGCATGGTTTCGATGATAAATATATATATATCAGAATTTTGTCAGTATTTTGTCTAGACGTCATGCAATTAATAATCGAGAGGACCTCCGAAGACTGCCGACGGTAATTTAACCCCATATAAACATAAATATAAATATAAATAAATAGCGACCACGTGCAATTGATTTTTTTTTAGGTCTGTTTGATTTATTTTGTAGGTTAAAAGGTAATGTTTATTATCGTTTTTATCTGTATAAGAATGATTTTTTTGTTAATCGAATCAGTCAGCAAAATAGTTTATCCTTGTTTAACTTTCAATGTGGACATTATTTTCCTTTTGACAGCTAAATATACATGCGTAACCCATCTCCAGCCAAGGAGTTAAATTAAAGGTCACATGAATACGGATTCAATGAGGTCGAATTATTTACTTGCAAGTGAATAATTCATCAGCGATATTTCTTAGCTTATTTTACAAAATTGAACCAAACTGTCTGCTATAAGCGAATTATTAGTTCACAATTTCATTTTTATTAATGATTGAACAGGGGGAAAAAATCATATTTTACTGGTTTTTATAACTCGTAGCTTATGTCCCTTTAAAACTTAATTGGAATTTGTTTTTAATTTTGAAAACTAATTAGGTTACTCTCTTTAAATAAGGATTATTATTATTATTAGTAGTTGTAGTTCATTTTCATTAATGATTGAACAGGGGAAAAAAATCATATTTTGATGTTTTTTATAACTCGTAGCTAATGCCTATTTTAGTAGGAGTAAGATTAGGAGTAGGAGGAGTAGGCTTGATTAAAATTGGTTAAAAATGTTGTTATGCGAATAAATCCTCGAAGTACCAACTTCAATTTATTTTTCTGCTGGATGCATACCTCTCTTGAACTTGCCAATTATCCGTATATGTATGCAGTTAGACCAAAGAAGTTCAGTGGAATACTTCCGTAGTGATCGATTGACATGCAGCAAAGATCAACACATTTGAAATTTAGTTTCTAAGCAAATTACGTGGGAAGAGCAGACCGGTGAATTCGAAAATTTAGGTGGGAAAAATATGTATTTTTTGGGAAATTGGAAGATGCTAAGAACTATGTGGAACATGTGAAACACTTGAAAAGTTTGTAACCTGAAAGACCATTTGATTTTTTATATACATGATTTTTATAAATTACTTTTTCAATGTGCTGCAAAGATCAACATTTTTTAAATTTCAGTTTCAGATTATCAAATATTTTCTTTTAAGCGGTAGGTGTTCAGAAATAACTTTTGATTAGTATCGTCACCGCTGCAGCATCGTATTTTACTATTAATTTTTTCGACGTTTTCATTATTCGCGTGTCATCGGGTTCGCCACAGTAACGACCGAAGGTATAGCGATGATTATCAGTATTTTACAATGAAGAGTCTTCAACATTAATCCGAAGAATCTGACAAATATTTGAGAAACTGAATGTTTCTTGTTTTTCTTTCCTTTTATACCATATTTAAATAAAAGACAAGGTTCAACCATACATGCATGTGATTTTAAATATTTTACTAAATATATTACATTTATGTTATTATATATAATCTGATTTATTAAGGCTGTTTTACACATAACTATGGCTTTGGATAAGGTGTGGCTTAAGTTAAGATAATAAAGTACGGTTATTATAAATTTGTATATGATTTGTATATGATTGTCAAAATTCTTTGTGTCTCTCAATTATAAAATCTCTGTAATAAATTACTTTACTTATCATGGGCCTTTTTATTGGAATAAAAATATCTTATTTTATGACAAGATACAGAGATGGAAAGCCGGTTTACCACAGTTTATAATATGTACTCAACTCGAAGGACGTGTAAAATTTTCAAAATATCTGAATAAAACAGGAAAATGAATTGGAATAAAATGATTTCCCAACTTTGTACAAGTATCTTCAAAATTTAATGGAGACAATGTTGATTTTATGGTAGTTTAAGGAGCTTTTGATGGCGCACTTATGTTCTCCTTACGCAAATAGCCAGTCCCAAGTTATTCATGCCATAAGAACGAATCCATGACATTAAAATAGTTAAGACTTTTAATCATGATTTTTGTTTTGTACAACCATCAAGAAAGTCTTTTTTCAAGTTTTTTCATCACTCCTGGAAGAAACATTCTGGTTTGAAAAAGAATGAGGGTAGTACTAATTTGTGATTTTTTTTAAGAATCGTATATCTATTTCCAGCATGTTTTATCAAAACGTTTAAAGTCACAAAAAGCGTATATTTGGATGATTAAAAGGGACAGGGCAATCTAGTCCTTAGGTAAAAGACATGATTCATATAGACAAATATGACTACAGGAATGTATTACACAGCCTCTCGAATAACAATTGACCACTTCATGACGACGGCCGTAATACTTTTGTAGAGGTGATATGGTTTAGGGTGAATAGGTGATAGCAATCACTTAATGAACTGGTGATAATGTTTTATTCATATAACGTTTATGTAAATTTTAAAAGTTTAAATTTGTTTAAAAACTTTCCTTGACTTTTAATGGTTTTCTACCGTGATGCCAAAATTCAAATATTGTTTATTCGTTTTGAGTCTTATGAAAGAGGGACGAAAGATACCAGAGGGACAGTCAAACTCACAGATCGAAAACAAACTGACAAAGCCATGGCCAAAAATGAAAAGACAAACAGACAAATAATAGTACAGATGACATAACATAGAAAACGAAAGACTAAGCAACACGAACCCCACCAAAAAATGGGGGGTGATCTCAGGTGCTCCGGAAGGGTAAGCAGATCCTGCTTCACATGTGGCACCCGTCGTGTTGCTTGGGTTATTACAAATCCGGTAAATAGTTTAATTCGGTAGGTCACATTCGTGAAAAGGGAAGGGTATTGTAGTTACGACATAAGGAACATATCCGATATCATCTGTGAAACGGTTATTCCATAACGGTCAATCAACTCGTGATGGCGTCCGTAAAATTTACGAAGGGATGATTTCAACTTCACCATTTGGAACTCTTGGTTTAATAGCTTCCTTGTGAGCAGCAATCCTCTATCAAGGAAATCATGATAGGAAATACAAGCTCGGGAATATCGTATCGATTGGGAGATATATACTCCGTATGCAGGTGCTGCTGGAATGTTGCTATATAGAAATGGAAAGTTCACAATTTGGAAGCTGAAATCATCTCTTTTGTCGTAAAGTTTTATTTTCAACCGACCCTCATTGTCAATTTCTAGATATAAGTCAAGATATGAGGCAGACTTAACTGTATCTGTAGTATCCTTTGTTTCTTGTTCGATGGGATAGATTCGTTCAACATAGTCACCAAATTTTGTATTATTTAGTGAGAGAACATCATCTATATAGCGGAACGTAAAGTTAAAGGATCTTGCTAACTTCTTATCTTTCTTCCTAAGAAGTTCTTGTATGACGTCAGCCTCATAATAATAAAGAAATAAGTCGGCAAGAAGAGGGACACAATTGGTTCCTATTGGAATTCCGACAGACTGTTGAAAAAACACGTCCTCCAAACGTAACAAATATGTTGTCAATCAACATTGTAATCCTTTACCAACATCGGAAGAAGACCTGTAGTGACCATATTTCTATATATCAGTCACCTTTGGGGTTGACGGGCTTGTGTACTCCCCTCCAAAAGAAGGATCCAATTATATATATTATGCTCTATTTGGGGTTGACAATTTGGAAATCCTAGCATACAAACCATTCACTGATATGGCATCTGTTTGTACTAGACTAAACGAACATATCGGGATGATGAACCTCTTAAAAAGAGCGACACTAAGTCAAGATCCCAAGCACAAATTTACCTTGGCAAGATTGAGAAAAAGACGGTCAATATACAAACTCCTAACTAGCCTACTGCCTGTCAATACATTTATTTTTGGCATTGCACAAGTCATGTCTTCTTTGACTGTCCATGACGTTAAAATACTAAATCCCTGGGATGTGTTTTAGTTGATTTTAGTCTCTGGTGCATGATTTTTATTATTAATTGTTTTTGGCTTTTAACTAGCAGTCAGTAACTGCGAGTACTCTCAAATCGTACTTTCTTGTTTATTTGACCTGTTGCTACATATTGTAATGCTTTTTTGTTATTTAATGTTATTCAGGGTTATATCTGGTCTATATACCAGCTTTGATAAGTGTTTGGTATAACTATCAAATTTTCACTTCTTCGTACTATGAACATAAAAATTATTTATTTGTAAAAATATTTCCTTTCTCTATTTGAACTGTACACGTATACATAACAACAAAATTATTTTGATTTACCTATGTTTAAAGTAATTGCAAATGGCTGATATTTTTGTTCAAGTATATTGTTTTTCTTAAATTGTTTAACATTTCACAGCGGTGTAACTTGTTACTTTAATTATTCTTCCCTTAGTTTATTTATTTTGTATTTGTATTGTATCATAGATCAAATTTATTTGTTCAGTGTATGTTCACTGGTGTTAATATGTCTTTTGATTGAGTTAAGCCATTTCAATTGATATTTTATAGTGTGTTTTTTTTTATGTTGTGATGTTACACTATTGTTTCAGATAAGGGTGAAGGTTTGGTACCATTAAAACGTTAAAACCCGCTCCAATTGTTTGCACCTGTCCTAAGTCAGGAATCTGATGTTCAGTATAGTTGTCGTTTGTTGATGTGGTTCATAAGTGTTTCTCGTTTCTCGTTTTTTATATAGATTAGACCGTTTGTTTTCCCGTTTGAATGGTTTAATTTACACTAGTAATTTTTGGGGCCCTTTATAGCTTGCTGTTCGATGTGAGCCAAGGCTCCGTGTTGAAGACCGTACTTTGACCTATAATGGTTTACTTTTATAAATTTTGACTTGGATGGAGAGTTGACCATCTTCTTATATCTATTTGATTGATGCACTGATGCGCGTGTTTTATAATTTACAGTGACACGTTTGCATGCAGACATCCACGATTCCAGGAAACAATTTTATTACCAAGTCCTGTTTAACCGTTTGCTTACATTGATAATATGTTAATGACATTAAAATCGATAAAACAAAATTGAATTTTATAAGAGTTCGTAAGGTGACCCGCCCCAATCTGTATTTGAGACAATATCTGAAAAAGTCTAATTTCCATGTCCCAACTTTCACCAGCAATTATATTTTTATTCAGGCATCTTTTTGGAAAATTTTAAGTTTCAGTATTTATTTAACTAGAGTATATTATGCACCAACTATTGCCAATTAAACACTCTTTCTTGTATTTCTTCTAATAAAATATTATAATTTAAATGTTCAACCCCCCGAAAAATCATGTTGTCCGGTGTTGTTTTCTGACAACTAAATCATTCAAAGAATATCTAAATTAAGTAAACAGGCTTCCGATTTTCACAAATATGATAGATTATATAGAAAACTTGTCCCTTAATGGTCTGATTTTGTTATAACTAAAGCATGTGATAAAATTTTGCATCTTTAAGGGTCTTTTAAATTTTGTCCCAAGGGGTAATTTCCCTCCTGTTACCACTGGGTTTTTTCACCTGTGGAAACGTTTGAAAGACCAAGATTTTATTTCTTGTAATGCAATGAGAAGAGCATCATTTCCTGAATGTATGACTCCATATGTATAGGTGAATGGCAGCCAGTTTGAAAAATCCGAACACACCAAAGATCAGAATTTAAGAGAAAAATAATTTTGTTGTTCTCTCCTGTTACATTCTGTCATGTTACCTGATAAAAAGTAACAGCATAACCATAATCAGTACTAGGAAAGATGTTAAAGACAATTTCACTGATGAATCACAAAGTTAATCTACTATATGTCAAACGTTTCATTTAATATAAGTTATGATCATCATATTAAATAAATCTCAACATAATATACAGTATATTTAATGAAAAGACAGGTTTTTTTACTTTTGATAACAGCAGAGAACATTGTGCAATTCTAGTAAAGTAGAATGGTAACAGAAAGGAATTTATTTTAGAATTTTTCATTACCTAGGCAGAATTTTCATCTTGCAAATACAGTTTCAAAAGATAAATGACATTGTTTGCTGTTATCATTCAATTGTGACCAATCTGAAATGATGTATTTTTCTTAAACTATGAAATAAAGCAATTGTTTTGAAAAAAAAATTCTTCCTGTTACTAACTCTGTTCTGTTACTTGTCCTGTTACTCAAGATTCTTTCATGTTACCGACATATCGGACTATATTTTAGTATATTTCTTAACCTTTTGTATTGCAAATGCTAAAATAAATAATTGGCATTTGATAAACTATTGCAGGATATACTAGTAACCCACAAATAGTATCTTAAACTTATTCCTTATTCCCATAAGAAACTTTTTAAAATTAATTCACTTTGGTAACAGGAAAGAACTGGAATTTTTTGTACCATTTTTAAAATTGCCATTGTTACCACATTTAACAATTGTTTGAATTACAGACAACAGTTCCTAGATCCTCAATGTGTGGTCTTCGATTTGTGCTATTAAAATTTTTTTCCTATTGCCAAAAATTAGACTTTTTCAGATATTGTCTCATTTACAGAACAAGTGATATTTTGTATCTGACCTACATTAAAGAGGTGTGTTTTTTTAACAGAACAAGTGATATTTTCTTTCTGACTTAATCATTCAAGCAGTCATGTTCTGTTCATTTACCGTTAATAAATGTTTTTTTTCTCCTCCCATGCACAACTTTATGGGATGCTTGGTTTTCATTGCTCATCAGCTAAATCATTTTTTA